TTTTTGTGGGGGGGGGGGGGGGGGGGGGGCGTTGTAGACCATAGTCGACGTAAACAATAACCATCCAAGCTAAGGCGCAAAGCGTTGCATTTGAAACCAGGTGAGCATGGGCTGCAGGCAAGATGGCCCGTTGCCTGCTTCGCGCACATCAGCCCGCCAGACAAGCGGGAGTCTCGAAGCATCACAACCTCAAGTGAACCACTTCGTACCAATCTACAACTTGCACGGCGAACTAGCACGGCGATGACAACAAGTTAAGAACAGCCTGGGGTAACAAGTGCTGAGGGCACCGCAGAATTCTGCCACGGCGGTAGTCGCACGATAATAACGACGTATCTGTCGGTACGTTGGGAGGCTTGCTCGCGACCTTGCATGCTCTACGTGAAGTACATCAATATTGATTGTGGCAGTAATTTTCGATTGTGAGACTACGTAACGTGTTTTGAGGTTGGTTGGAGTGAGGTACCTATGTATGTGGCGCTGCTGCCGGTGTCGATCTGACACGAGATACTACATGGACCATAACGCATAAAGCTCAAAACACCCCCCACTAAACCTACATCCGAACACCCCCCACAAAACCTACATCCGAAGGGACTTGCGAGCGTGCAGGTGAGAGCGGGGCGCCAGAAGTTCTTGACGTGCGGGTTGCCCTTGGTCTCTCCGGTGATGAGGAGTAGGAGAGAAGCCGCAAGGATACCCGCCATCGCCATGCACGCTGATTGGCACCATGAGACAAAAAACCATGGGGGGGGGGGGGGGCAAAGAGCGTGTGAGCACAGCAGATGATATTCACGTTTCGGGTACATCTACATATTACCGAGGAAGTGGTTAGAGATCAACCACTTTCGAAAACACCCACAAGAGAATAGCATTTGGTGCTCGGAGTAGTTTACAGCAGTTAGAGAAAGTTGCGGTGGCACACGAAGACGAGGATGATGTTGGCTTGGAAACCAATTAGTCTGAAACATGATAGCTTTATTGCTGAGAACTGGGCAACAAGCATTCAAATTTGAATCAACCAATGGGCAATCTACACCCAAGAGGCCAGAAGAAACGCCACTGTAATAATGTTTGTAGTTTTACGTGCGGGGTGCGTGAGGTATTGAACCTCTCAAAGCACGTGTACATACGCCAGACAGACAGTCCCCTTGAGGGCGCATAACGCGTGTTTCGGCATACACACCGAACGTCTCTTTCCTCCCTTCAGAAGTCACGCTGGTGGGGGGTCACCACGGCCAGGTTCCAGCACGCGAGGGTAACGAGTTCTCAGCAGCTCTCGCTGTTACGGGATTTAAATCCCAACCTTCGACAGACAGCAGTTGAATAGTATAGGCTGACTGATTCGTTCGCTACCGCTGTTACCAACAAATTCGAACAAAACGAAGGTAAATAAATTGCTGTCATCATCCACTTGTAGTCAGTGACGACATGAACTATTCGGCGCGTTGTGGACATTGCTGTAAGACCAGCAGCGCACGACACCAGTATATTATATATTACAGGAAAAACGAAGGAGCACCGCACTTGACAACAGTAGTACTGGAACCGTTACACGGCGCATCATTTGCCTCTAGACTGCCGTTTAGGGACCTTGGGGAGGCCGCATATGTATGCCACCACAGGGACAAACCTTTGCGTCAAGCGAACCTTTGACTTTTGACCCTGCACGGAATGTGAGATTCGAACCCACGCCCAAACATCAGAAGGTTGCGAGGTGACCTACTCAACCCCCCAAACCACTGCTGTTGCTGCTGTGTGACCGACCTTACCAAAATGGGGGAATGGCCAAAAGCGGGTTACATACAATCCACAGATCAACAACCCTCTCTCGGGACGTCGTCGAAAATTTGAAAAGGTAGCCAACTGAGGAAATGCCATGTGTAACGACAACAACGCGACTTCCCTTTGAATACGTTGCACAGGAACATGGCGATGACCCTCAACGGGAATAACTAATGTAAACGTCGTGCCTCAAGGGTATTTCTTAATTAACCAGGTCGTGGTCGTGTCTACCCCTCGTGGTGGTGGGAGTCGGCGCCACGGGATGCAACTTAGCAACTTAGGCCGTCGCGGTGCGATCCGACTTCAACGCACCGGTTTTTCTTCCCGTGAAAACAGATATCGACACACACATTTTAACCCAGCAGTAGCGAGCATTCGAACGAGGAAACCAAGGGAGCCAAGCGCCGCACGGGGAAGGCTTCCCAGCAGTCCCAAGTAGCGTCGATCGGACAGTAACTATTACCTGCTGGCGTGGTGCTGCTCGCCCTCTCTGTCTCTCACCGTTTAGGACGAAGCTGAAGTGCCATCGACCGGTCACATTTGCATCGTGTGGAGACACGTAGTCGACTCCCGTAATCTTCTCCTGTAGGTACCCCCAATACAGGAACGACGAATACAGGCCCGCCGCTGCAGATACCAGCTTGACTTCGGAGGAAACCACCATAGCGTTGTATGAAACGATACGCCGCTGGTTGTGGGTGTGGAGGGGTGACAGCGGGAGCGGTGAGGGGCAAGTGAGGGGGATCTACGGTTTGGACAGATTCATGGTTACGTAGGTAGGCACCAGCGTACTTTTGGATTTTTTCAGATGCACGTGTGCTCGTTCATGTTCTTAGCAAGATGCAGCAAGATGAAAGACCATGGAATCTCCAAATATTAACGTGCGAGATACTTTTGTAGCAAAACTGCTGGCAGGACGAAGAGCGACCTCTCTGCGTTTCTTCGAGCGCCATTCCTCCGCAGAACTCCTCTGCGAGCAAAAAAAAAAAAGTCTGTGGGTGTATACATACCCACACCCACACCGGTGATGAGATCAGAACCATTTACATTCCATTTTGCACACCCCCTTCGTTCCTTCCTTCATTGCCAGTGCCTCTATTTTCTTAAACACACACACACACACACACACATCTTTCACATCTTTCAACACTCTCAACTTCCAACACTGCGGGACGAATACCCCGCCGCCGGACGACCTGTAGCTGCTGCTTTCGGTCAGCAGCTAGCCTACAGGTATGCATATGCAGGTGTGAGCGTGATACAACTATACCATACTGGTACGCATTTGCTCTGGTCCCGGCGTCCCCGCCGAGGCGTCGACGGGGGGTGGACATTTTCACACACACGGCGGCGAAATATGGACCCAAACCTCGTGGGGCCAAGTAGGTGCGGCCACCCTGGCTGCTCCAAGCGTCCGACATACGGCATCGAGGACAGTGCGGGGAGCAAAAGGGCTCAATTCTGTGCCCCGCATGCACAGCCTGGAATGGTCAATGTCTCGAGAAGGAGGTGTGCGCATGTCGGCTGTATGAGACACCCGTCCTTCGCAATCAAAGGAAACAAGTCGTTGTTGTTCTGCCTACAGCACTCCGCGGACGGGATGGTGGACATACACAACATCCGGAGGTGTGCTCATGAGGGCTGTGCCAAGCACCCCACCTACGGCGTGCCCGGGACGAGGAAGGCTGAATTCTGTGCGCCTCACGCTTTGGATGGCATGGTGAGTGGAAGTGTCGCGTGCTGTCATTGTTGGTAAACTCCCACCAGCATCAACTCAAAACTCTGACCCCAGGAGCACCGCAAAGTAGAGAATCCCCGGCACCCTGCGTGCTTTTGTGACGGAACTAAGCAGAGTGGTGCTGCCTTCACTGCCCAGTCTCTTTACGCAGTTGCCGCCTTGTACTCACACGCTGGTGTGCTTTAGCAGGTACTAATTCGTCCGATTGGTTTGTGGCGCGCTCTTGCACGAACGTAAAATTATTTGTCCCGTTGGTGCAGTTTGTGGTAGAGCCGAATCTCCGACGCTGCTGCTTGTCGTATTGTCTAATAGTCATACGCGTGCAGCAGCAGCGCAGAATTTCCGCGCATGCGCCCAACGTAACGATTCCAGCAAGCATGGTGAAGCATGATGAACGGTGCCGCTTGTGGTGTTAATGTGATTGCAACCTCTGAGCGAAGAGTTGCGGTGTCAATAAATGTATGTATAGTAGCACGTGATGTGCGCTCTGCGCAAGTAAGTGCGGTCCATCGGCAGGTAACTTGTGTAGTCGAAAGAATAAGAATCCAACAATTATCAGGCCGCCGAAAATGAAAATCGACGATGACGACATCACGCAGCGAGGGCGGGCTTTTTCGATAGCATCCTCGGCAATTATTTCAAAGATATTAAGGAATACTAAAAAACACACACAGAAAGACAACCCATTCGAGATATACTTACAGTCGAACGGGATGTGGTGGAGTCTTTTCAGTGAGTGGAGGGAAACCGGCTGGTTACTGGACTTATTTCGAGTTTTTTTAAAGTCTGTCTACACTGATGATTTATACCAGTGATGCCAGCTGGTGCTGCTAAGTATAAAAACATCTGTATAGGTAACTTACATTTTACAATACATCCCCTGTAGTTCTCTACTGGGTCAACGACAAAATATCGGGGAGAATCCCTCCGTTGTGTCGTGTATTGTAAAATGTTGCCTTCACAGGGGACGGAATATTTCTCAGCGGTTTTGGAGCGTATTTACTCGAAGCGTTTGCGAAGCACGCGAGCGAATGCTTGTGAAGTGCAACCCATTTGTAGTCGCCGGCCGAGGAGGGCAGGCTGCAAGCGATGTTGTTTTCACTTTTTTCTGGCGTTCATCCGACATCTCTCTCTTCCTCATATTTTGCCTCTGTTGAATACTCCGAGCAATCCGTACTTTCTGGTGTATTGGTTGACAACTTTTTTTTTTGGCGAATGGGTTGACTCCGGGAAAGAATGCGCGTGCAACACTCGTCCGAACTAGAACTATTGTGGCGCCAGTCCACAGGTACGCACGCACCTTCGGGGTGTGTTACTGTATCAGATTTCTGACATTCAGCCGGCGTGACCAACAATAATGACCTATTTACGTTGTTGATGGATCATGAAGAATGCGTCCTCTTTGCACACGATATTGTTGTTCTAAGCATGGATACGTGTGTATGTATGGACAGGACAGGTGAACCCTTCGGACGAAAGCGGGCACTCGAATCTTTTTTCTTGCGAGGACCACTTGTCGAAGAAACGCATCGCTCGGAATTGCTCTGAGCCCATTCCGACACATGAATAACACAGCCAGCCCAGCCCAAAAGGCATGCAGCACATTAACCTTTCTCAACTTTCGGGAACGCCTTCAGCCTAAAATCTGCCTCAGCGCGCAGGGCGTCGGCAGAGTGACCGGTTTTGTCCGCCTGTCTATTCATCGTGACCCACTTTTTGTCCGAAGTACAACCATATTTGTCCAGTTCCAGTCCTATCAACCTCCACACACCGCCCGCCGGAATGTCTTAGACCCGACAGCAGTGAAAGAGAGTGGGTTGTAGGAATAATACCAGCAGATTCGATTGGAATACCAACCGCAATTTGGGACGAAACAGGGCACAACTTGCGAAAGCGGCAAGAAAATCGGTAGAAAGTTTGATGTTCACGCTCTTCATGGGCCTTGACCATGTTGTCCAGGTATCAGAATGAAAGCGTTTTATTTTATTTTATTTTATTTTCTTGATATGACACAACGAATCCATCTCTATCATAGAAAAGAGTCTGAGACAGATTAGCAATGAATTACTGTATTGTATTTTAGAAAATGATTGTAACCGGACCCTCTCACCAGAAAAAATGTGGCAATAACCTCACTGTTACCAGGTCGCGGTGTTTGAACGGCGACGCCGTCTATCTTTGGACTCTTTTCTTAGAGATGGATTCGTTGGGTCATATTTAGAAAAACAAAACAAAACAGATGCGTCCACATGTTGTTAAAAATAAAGTACATATATTATGACTTAGCAGACCACGCGCTGGCTCGAGGGGGGGCACTCGTATTGCGACCCGGCAGACAACGCATGCGGTGGACCAAGCATACTACGCGTGCGTGTGGTGCACCCAGCAAACCAAGCTGGGGGGGGTCCGGGG